CCCCCACCCCCTTCCGCTAAAAAGGACGAAACTCTTGACCCAACAGAATGGCCGAATGACTGAATTGTCTGCTGAGGGTTCTGTTTGTGTACAAAATCCTGTGATCCGAAGGATTTTATGGGTCACGATTTGCTGTCTCCATAACTGACCGCATTTCTCCGTCTGTTGTGTCTTCCTACCATGTTTTTTTGTTGTTGTAGGTTTGGTGCCTATTAGTTGTTTTATTGTTGTTGATGATGATGTTGTTGTTGCTGTTTAAATCTAACTTCCACGATGACTGACCACATACCTTTGTCTATCTCTGTTTTTCGTTTTCGTGTTGTTTTTTGTCTTCATGTGGTTTTTTCCAAACTGTCACCCAACTTACGTACTTATCTTAACTGATCACTTTTCTGTGTATGTCGACCTCTGTCATAACTGACCACATGTCTTTGTCTCTCTCTCTCTCTCTCCCTGTACAGGACCTTGTGAAGCGCCACCTGATGTATGCAGTGCGGGAAGAGGTGGAGATCCTCAAGCAGCAGATCGGCGAGATGGTGGAGCGGATCACCCAGCTGGAGTACGAGAATTCGGTGCTCAAGTCCGAGGCCAAACCCGAGACGCTGAACAAGCTGGTGGTGCCCAGGCAGGTCACTCAGGTCACCGGCCAGCCGCCCTCCGCCACAGGCGTGGTTCAGCAGCTGTCGGGCGTTGTCGGTGGGCCATTGTCGACGGCGACGCCCGCCCCTAGCGCTGGTGGGATGGGTGTTGGTGTTGTGGCCGGTTCTACGTCCGTGCCGGCACAGCCGCAGCAACAACCGCAGCAGCAGCAACAACAAGGTGGTGGTGTTGTTGCCTCCGCCGCCACTGCTGCGCCTACCTCTGTGACTGTTGCCGCGGGTTCGATTCCCGGAGGGGTGGTGGCTCAGCCTCAGGCCGGTCAGCCCACTGTCGTAGCCTCCTCACAACAAGGCACACTGCCGCCCGCACAGCAACAACAGCAACAGCAGTCGCTGGCTGCCCAGGTTCAGCAACAACAGCAACAGCAACAGCCTCCCTCTTCCCAGACAGGGCAGCCTGCCTCCCAAGTGCCCGCTCCCGGTTCTGGCTCGTGATCTCGGCATGGGGTTGTGGAGTGCAAAGACATGTTAGGACGCTTTTCTCTCAGTGTCCGCACTGAATGGATCCGGTTTTTCACGAATCCAAACTTAAGCAATCCGGTTCTCCCCCGAATCCAGATGTAAATCGGTTCTTGGGGAGAGAAGACCTAAAACTGGCTCGAATCCAGTGGTATCCGGTTCTCGGTGCGAGTCTCGGAGTCATGATTACGGTTCTCATCACATATAGCTTTCAGATCCGGTGCTAGGCTATCCTTAGATATATTCTCTCGGTATATAACAGCAGACATTATAATATGTATAAATTTGTAAATTTGTAAGACTATGATGAGAGATAATACAATCCCGTGAGATGAGATTCGGCTTACAGCAAAGCGAGATTTAACCTGGACTCAACTCGCCATGTTGTCTGAACTGAGTGTGCAGCCTTTGCAAGGCGGACTGGTTATGTTTTAGACACTACTTATTTAGAACAGTAGAGTTGATTGTACTGTATGTAGAGAGGTACTGGTGTGTGCCATCATTATCAATGCCATTCTCACACTGGATCAGGGTACAGTAGAATGGGCCATATTACGGACAAACACTTTTCCAAATTTCACTTTTCCAAGCTAGCTTCTTGGTTATATTATTTCATGTCTTCCCACTTTTCTGTACATCATTCTCTGTGACTCTTCTCCAGGTTCCACGTGGCCTTCCCCTCGATCTCCTGCCCTAGAGATTCCAGTCCTACTCTTTTTTTGTTATGCAGTTGCCTTCATTTGAGAGTATGTCCAATCCGTCACCACTGCTTTCTTCTCTTCTCATCTCCGACTTGGTCCTGTCTTATTCTGAATAACACTTCCTCATTGTTTACCTTGTCAGTCCATCTGATCCAGAATACATTTTTCAGACACTTTTCCAAGAAAACACGGATCCTCTGTATGCAAGTATGAGATGCGTTCTATGCTTCACATCAACCGGACAACAGGACTGTCATCACATTTAAGTTGAAAATCCCCAGCATTTGGTACGTCAAACGCTAATCAAAGATATATGATAGCAACCTGTACCACTCCGATGCGGAACATAATTTCAGCTTTTGTTCCTCCATGACTCGATTATATTCCCAAGATACCAGAAGGATCCCACGTCTTCTAGTGCATTTCCTTCCATAGCGACTAGCTCTTTCTGTGGTGCGTATTTAGGACCTCTAACTTTCCAGGGTGGCTCCTTCAATCCACCAGACTGTTGGGATTACGGGCCTTTCCGCATCAGCTCTTGAGATCTACGTCATAGCTTGTGATGATGTCACTTTGTGGGCTCTTTGATTATGATTGTTTGATTTTCAGGAAGGGCATTATGTTGGAAAGCGTATTGTGTAATGAATGGATCCAGCCTGTACAATGTGTGCGTGTGTTTGTTTGTTTTTTTGTATCTGTATTTTGAGACCAAAGCAGTTGAGAAAGTGAAATTTACGAGTGGCATTTCCGCCGTTATCTTTAATCGGGTAGATCTATGGTATGTCCGACATTTGGCAAAGTTTGGAGAGAAGGTGGGGGGGGGGGGGGGGGGGG